ATATTTTCTGACTTCTAGCTCACTGTTGTGGCTCATGAACCACAAGGTTTCAGTTCATGTGCCACAACCTCCATTGGTACATCATGAATTTATCATGTAAATTAGCACAGTGGCGCATGAGCAATCATGTGTTCCTGTTATTTTAGCGGTGATAATCTTCTGTAGTATTCGATCTCCTCCATGCATTATCTTTTGTACTCAGTGCCATTTTTCGACTGCTTAGTTCAGAGATGGCAAGGTTTTGGTTCATGTGTCACAACTTCAGTCGGTACATACATCGATCAATACTTTAGAATTTGTCACGTAAATTACCGTAGTGCATGAGCCGCAAACTGATATGTAAATTAGCCATATATTACCACGAGTAAGTCACAAAGATGACCAGATGCACCAGAATTCATTATGTTAATTACCCATATGAATATGTAAGCAGTGTCTACCGGTATATGCTTGTACATGTAAAATACACCCTAAAGTTTATACATTTAATAATGCAACTACCTTGAATGACATGCAGTTCTATTATACATTGTACATATGATATAATATTCATCATTTGTGAGTTTTCTCTCAAAGCTCAGTAATGACATTTGATTTGCACACATTACCGTAGTTTCTCTATAATAAGCCCACCCCTCTGTTTTTAGACATTTAACAAGTTAAAGGCATCCCCGATATAGGTCCCAGGGTGTCAATGACATTTAATAAAATATTTCATTGCATAAACTTTGTGATTGGCACGGTAGTTTGGTTCCTGCTTTTACGAGAAAACTCGCATTGCGTAGTAGTTTTCAAAACGCCAAAAATGTGATCAACAAGTCAGAAAACCTGGTCATAGAACATCGTTTTACTTTTTTGGATAATTGTGTCCATTGAGACTATCATGAATAGGGTGTAAACAAGCAAACTATTCTTCAACATGACTTGTTTGCGACCCTGTTTACTTTTTGAAAATTGTGAATCAACAGCTTTTAGGAAAAAAGTCACAGATCGCATTTTAACATAACGGTAATTCAATCACTTTCCGTCAATAATCAGAAAACTTCTTCTGTACGACATAGTGTTTTGATTGGTTAACGAAAGGCATGATGTACTAGACCGGCGCTGTGAACGAAAAATGTAATTTGGATAATTTTCTGTGGGTGGAAAGATGGTTACAATTTTAAACCCCCTAAAGAATTATCTTTTCTGAGGTGGTCCTCGAGTATAAGCCCGCCCCCTAATTTTCTTGATTTTACATATTCAGGATCCTGGGCTTATGATCGGTGAATTACGGTATATAGAAAAGTTAAGGCAGTTGCATAACTTTGAATTTAAGGACAAGAGTAATTTGATCACATGATTTGTGTAATATGTTTACATTCTTTAAATATAATTGCTTGCCTGTAAGCATGCTTACATCAAACTTTGTGAAAATCCTAAAGAAAATTGGGTAAAATATGGCGAGGTTGACCCCTGCTGCCTACCAGCCCCCCCTCAAACATTTGTATGAACAGATTACAATGTATTTGTCTCTTTCTATTAGGGTGACAGAGTGTTTGGTGCTGCTATATCAGATGGATTTTCTGAAGAGGTTATTGCTCATCCCCAGGTAAGAATTAAGATTCATTTCAAATCTGTTTGTAGTGATAGGAAGTCAATGAGATTACCCTGTCTGTATATCTGTCTGTCTGACTGATCATCAAGAACTGTTGACCAATTGTATGATGTTCCATTTATAGCGAGATCTCGCATATTGTGTTAATGTCATGGTCTGCCAATCTTTGAGAGGAGCTTTTGTTAAGTTACTCTTACTTCAACAATTGTGTGTAGCACATTATTAAACATTAAAATACCTCCAAAATACTTTTGTGTTTTTTAAATCCCACACAATGTTTTGCGACACTATCACATCACTGCGACACTATCATTTAATGTTTCCCTGTTTTTATGTTTGATTTCATGCAAAATGGTCTATTCAAACACTTTTGTTATAGATGGACACAGCTGACACACTTTTGGCATATGAAGTTGTACTCACTGTGAAATTATTCATGTGAATATGTAAATAAACCTTATATGCAAATGACCATCAAGTTCTCATTGAGAGTGAGAGAGAGTCCGAAGACTCAAATGGTGACCTATGTAAATAAGTATTTAGAATGGTGGTCGCAATGAAGCGAATATAATGTTTAAAGGGCAAAGACATGTCTTGTTGCTGTCTGCATGCTCTCACTAAGATTTTGGCAGCCATTTGCATTTAGGTTCTACTGATATTACATAACAAAAGTAGTGTATTGAATTTTATAATTATTTACAATTTACTTCTTGTAAAGGAATTATATTTTCCTATCATTTATACTGTGAAAATGTACATCACTCACTGCAATCATTTTTTGCAATATGATAATTTGGCGGTAAACATGAAGAGGTAATGTTGTGTTAGACTCGATCACCACAAAGTAAAGATCCCAAAAAATTTTGCAGTTTTTCCCCAAGTTGTGAACATTAATTCATCTTTTTACAAACTTAAAGCAATTTACAGTATGTCACACTAGAGTAAAGCGATCTTCAGATTTTCACATACAATACAATGCAGTGAGATTGTTGTCTTTTTAGGGTTTATGGCATATCCCTGCTAATGCTACCTTCACGCAAGCTGCCACATTGGTGGTATCTTATGGTACTGCTATGTTAGCACTGGAACAGAGAGCACATATCCAGCCAGGGTAAGCTATATAACTATTTGTAATTATTTCTCTTCCATAACTTATTAATATTTGATCAAATAATATAAATAACATTTGATTAGTAATCAATCAATTAATTATTAACAAATAGTGTAAGTGAATGGGACTAATTAGCAAGGGGCCTGAAAGTTTATTTTCTAAACATTTGACCCACTTTGCACATATGGTATCATGGTAACATATACATATATAAAAGGAAAAATTATCATCCTGAAATTATCATAACTTTCAAAATAATTAAGAAAAAGAGTCAACAAAGCTATATATATATCGTGATCAGTAAATGTTTAAGCAAAAACCCCCGCCGAAGGCGGGTATACCATGAGATATTGCACAATTCACGACATATATGCACGAGCCGCAGGCGAGTGCATATATGGAGTGAATTGTGCAAT